TTACCATCTCCTTGCATGATAACTATAATGATCATATTTTAGTTATCAGGCCGGGATTATCAACCTTTAATAATCCCATTAAATAAAGTTGCCACTTGGCAAGTTCGTTGCAGTTGCAGAGTTGATAGCCAAAAGATGTAATGAGGTTTTAGGGTTTGGGGTGCAACTTTTCTGGGTTAGGGATAGGTTTAAATTTTAAGAAGGCCAACCTGAAGCCCAAACCCTCGGGCCAACCCGAGTTGCACCCTATTTGGGGTCATATCTTTAAACACCTAGACTGCTTGTTAAATATCCCAGTCTACCATGATTAAAGAGCTGTTAAATGAAAGATTTTGAGGCTTTTTAGTCCTATTGTGCTTTATTAAATAAATGTTTTATACGACATTTTCATTGAAAAAAAAAAAGTGGTTAAAAACATTCTTTTATCATTTTTTGACAGCTAGCTAGGTGCCATTAGGCAACTGAATAGTGAAAAATGCCAAGTGTTAGGGAAAACATAATAAATACGTTATCCTCAAGCCCCAATAAATAACTTTCAAATAACATGAGAAAAATGTTTATTTGATAAAAGGTTTAACTAAACAACATTTGGAAATGCCTAAATGGCGGTGAGTTATGGCTGTTTTTAGATAAATACCAATGGAATTAAACACCATTTTAAGTGCAAAAAGAGATTAGACTTTCATGAGCTTTTTAGGGTATATGTTTTTTTGGCTTCCCATCTTTCACTGTCAAAGAGAGAGATCAAATTTTGGTATTCTAATGTTAAAAACCCAAAAGATCATACAAAAAGACTTACCAAATACCTAATAAATAAATTTTGATCTTATTGATCACAACTTTATATGCAAAGCCATGGTTTTCAAAACCATATCAGACTGGACGAACGGACCGGAAAAACCAGGAACCGGTTACTTTGACCGGTTCCATTTTCCCCCCAAACCGCTTTTTTCCCCAAAATCATTGATTTTGGTCAGCAAACCACTGAACCGGCCAGTTAACCGTTCAAACAATTTTGACCGTTTTTCAAATTTTTTAATTTTTTTTGCCAAAATGAGCCAGCCATTCGGGTCAAATGATCGGACCGTTCAAACTGGTAACCGGACCGCTGACCAGTTCGTTTTTAAAAACCATGTGCAAAGCATTTCATTTCTTCAAAATCATGCCATGTGATCCATTAATAGGTAAATGGACCAAACACAAATAGAATCAATCTATGTTTGAATTGGATTTCGATTAGAAAACCAATATCCGACAAATATTGAATATTGGAATTCGATTCTATATTCGAATATTTGATTTTAATTGAATTTGGCGAGCCATTAAGAAACATTAGTCTCACAAATAAAAAAATAAGAGAAAAATAAAAAGAAGAAATGCCAAACACCACTAAAACAGATCCTAGAGGAAGTGGACCTAAGAACACCAATGAAGTGATTCAAAACCAACAAAAAAAATCTTAAGAGAAATAATGAAGAAAAAATAGAAGATAGAAGCAACAAGAACAAATTTCCTTGACCATGCATTCTTGCGAAAATAAATAACAAAAAAATTCGTGCATCCTTACATTCCTATGAAGACAAATAACAAAAAAGGGAAAATTTCTGATTAATATCATGTACTTTGCACCTAGTGGTACTTTGGTCCCCGAACTTTAAAATACAATAATTCAGTATTCGAACTTTCAAAATGTGATAATTAAGTACTTGCCATTAACTAGTTGTTAATTAGCCATTAGGTGATATTTTAAAAAGGCACAAATGCCCTTCAAGTGTCATCTAATTTTCTTTATCAACTATACCAACATTGACCAAAAAAAAATTAAAAGTCCCAAATCCTTGCTTCTTCCATTCAAGAAAGTTGGGGTTACGTTTGAGTGGGCATTCTAGTGACCCCCAACATTCTTGAATAGAAATAGCAAGGATTTGGGACTATTAATTTTCTTGCTTAATGTTTGCATACTTGATAAAGAAAATTAGATGACACTTGAAGGGCATTTGTGTCTTTTTAAAATGTCACTTAATGATTGATTAACAACTAGTTAACGGTAGGATCCGGATTGTCACATTTGAAAGTTCGGTACTGAATTATTGTATTTTAAAGTTTGGGGACCAAAGTGACACTAGACCCAAAGTACATGGTACTAATCGAAAATTTTCCCTAACAAAAACGTGTAGACCCATTGTTCCTAGTACTTGGAGCAGATCTTGATAAACAAAAAAGGCATGCTAAATTGCTTTGTTTGTGAGATACATTGGATTTATTAACCACACTCTAATCAGAAATTAACCACAGGATTGAGATTTCATTCCCAAGGGAGGGGCAGGGAATGGCCATTCCCTCAAATGGGGGAATGTCATTCTAGCAGGAATGAGAATGGGACTCTGATTTTGCCAAACCAAACAGTTGTAACTGGAATAGCCCATTCCTATTCCAATTATGGACCCCTATTCCTTTAAACCAAATGGGGCTTTAGATAATTCAAAGGATGGGTCTTCTTAGAGGATGTTTGGTTCCATTGGCATTTATTGAAAAAGCACCAACACATCAGTGCCACATGGGTGTTTGTGTTTATTGCATATGAAACCACTATGTGGTTTCACAATTTATCAAATAAACACCAAGAATCTAAAATGCTTGGTTTCATTCTCAAGGATTGAGATTTCATTCCCAAGGGAGGGGCAGGGAATAGCCATTCCCTCAAGGGAATTCATTCTAACAGGAAAGGGAATGAGATTCTGATTCCACCAAACCAAACAATTGGTGTCAGAATAGTCCATTCCAATTCCAATTATGGACCCCTATTCATGCGAATCAAACAGGGCCTTAGATCATTCAAGGTTTTTGTCTTCTTAGAGGATGTTTGGTCCATTGGCATTTATTGAAATTGTGTTTATTGCATATGAAACCACTATTTGGTTACCTTTTTATCAAATAAATACTAAGAAATTGAAATGCTTGGTCTTTTGTGCATGGGGCATTTGTGGAAACGTCAAATTTTCGTTTCTCCTAACGCCCAACATTTCTTTCATGCTTTTATGGGTATTAATCTAAGGTAGGAAGCAATAAATGTTTAAAATGATGCCCAATCAAACAAAAAAAAAACAAGAAACATTTAAAATAAGATAGTATAGATAAATGTTTAAAGTAATAAATGACCCCACTATAAACTCCAATGGAACCAAACATACACTTAGTCGCTTGATCTCGAGCAAGCCTCCTTTCTCTTTTCAAAAATGTTGTTAATGTCCCACTGTTGGAATGCCTATCTTATAACTTATAACAAAATCAATACATGGTAGAAATTGAATAAGCCCTTCTGATAATCTTGATCAACAAAGCAATAATCACACGGAAAGAGAAGGAAAATGACTACTATTGTTGCTGGTTCTTGAAATTTTGACATCTAAATAATTCGCCTTTTGACTGGTTTTAAAAGCGAGGGAAAGCTCCTGTTTATGGTGAATTTCAAAAGCCCTGTTAACCTATCATGTTTAGGTTTCTATTTATTACAATTTCTAAGTCATAAAACTGCACTGCAGTACATCCCATGGTCCCTGTTCCACTACATCATTCAATATCTCAAAAGGCTCGCTTCTTCCTTCCTTCCGTAAGGCAATGTTTTCACAACTTTTTGTTTGTTTCCTCTAGACCAAAAAGTTACCTCATATCTTTTAGGGATCCGACAGATCAAATCCAAATCTATTTCTAAAAATCCCATAAGAAAGGCATTCAATTTGTTGGTGTGGGTGATATTCTTAGATATGGGTTCTTAATTACACATAAATCAAATAAAAAACGTAGCCTAAATTTTATTTGTGGATGTGGATTGTGGTTTCTGAACAGAACATGTGGACCCAATTGTCCCATTCTTTTTATGTGGTTAGAATGAAATATGTAGGAGTGCAAATGAAAAAAAAATGCAAATTTTATTTTATTCTGCATTCGAGTCTTATTTTACTTCATTTGTACTGCAATTAAACAAAGTAAGGTAAAATTTGAAATATAAATAAATCAAATTTTGCACTCAAATAATTTGTACTACTATAATTTTGTATCGATGCAAATAAATTTGCACTGCAACTAAACATAGTTTGACATTCATAAGCTATTATTTCAATTAGGAGTTCAATTGCGGTGCATTCACTAATATTGGTCTCATTTAAATCTAAACCTCAACCAATCATATTAATTAATTTTCATTGGTTCATTTTTTATAAAGTGTACTTTCACACTAAACAAAGTGTTCTTACCATCACATTCTACCAACCACATCTTTTGTGGCATAGTGCAACAGATGCACCATAGATTTTGCCTTCAATTATACATGAAGTTAGAAAACAATTTGCAAGTTTTAATAAAAATTGAGTTATATTTTTTTTACCAAGAAAATTGAGTTATACTTTTATTTTTAAATTAATAGTCTTCATATTTTTCATTTTTATTTTTTATTTTTTGGTTCATCTATTTCTCTACCTGGAGGAAAACTTTTGTTTTTTTTAATTAGAATTTACAAATATTTTTGAACTGAAGTAAAGCTAATATACAAAGAATACTATTCATTTTTGAAGTTTCAGCTGAATTAGTAAGTGCAGCTTTAACAATTTTGTGTTGCCTTCCATAAAAAAGAGTTTTAGGTTGTTTTTGGCAATAAGGACACGAATGCAATCAATCTACAAATATAGGGAGGTCAATGGAATATCGGAGAATATAGGAAGGAAAATGTAAAATGATTGAAGCAATCGGCAAAAGTGCAAGAAGCCCAATCTCAAAGGTGCAACTTGGGCGGATTTGGTTGGCGTCGGAAAAAAACTTAGGCGGGCTTGGTTTGGGCTTTGGCCAAAATTTCACTGGGCGCAGTCCGATCCAATCCAAGTTGCACCCCACTAATGACTAAACCTTAATTTATACTGAGGACGGTTCGGTCATATTAATTAAAGGGAGCAGCAAATTCCGTCTATTAAAGAATTTGAACCGGGTGAAGGTTCTATATATAACATGGTTCGTTTGTAGGGTTAGGGTTTGTGGCATTTGCTTCTTCCTCATCCTTGAAGCGCCTCAGTTTCTGTTACAGTCGAGGAGCCTCTACCTTTCTGTCGCCATGGGGTAAGATCATTCACACCTTCCTACGTTGCTACCATGGATTCTGCGAAAGTGTGTCTTTTCTTTGCCTATTTCTTTGTTTTCGGTGGTTCCTCTTGTTGATTCGTTTATCACTCCCCTAAATTCTTAAAACGTTCTAGTTTCAGTCTTCAGTAGTTGAGATCTAGTGATATCTTCTGGTTCTTCGATTCAAACTTGTGGCACTTCAATGTAATTTGCTTGTTTTAAATCCATGTTATATCTTAGCAATGCTTTCTAAGAGGGAATTTTGTTGGTTCATTAGTATCATTCTTTTTGATGGATGATAAATATTCAGTTCTAAGAAAACAGATGACCACAATTGTTGTTTCTGATTTAAGGATTGGAAGTTAGGGCATATGTTGCAGTTCGTCATCTACGCTCATATATGCATTTTTGATATTCCATTTGGTCAATGTCGTCGGACTCTCCGGTATAGTGACTGCATATTTTCAATACAACTTAAAAGAATTATAAGTTTCGTAATCGTCTGTTAAAAGTACGAAGTTCATATTAGAGAGATATTTCTGCAGTTTCCGATTAATGAAACCCGTGAAAGCATTTTTTTTCATGAATTCGCAAGCATTAGGATGCTCTGGGAACAGAGTCCTTGGATCCTCAACGTGGACTCAAACAGTTCTCCTGGTAAACTAGGATTCAACAGTGTGATCCTAAGGATGTGTTTCCATGGCAAATAACTTGGGTATCTTTCCAGAATACAAGCCTTGAGCTCAATATTTATTGACAAAGCTCCAATTGCTAAGGAATTTTGTGATGAATCTGGTAGTCTATTGATTGATGCCTGGCTTTTGGATTCGAGAGGTATTTATTTGTGGGGTTTAGAGATTTAAGTCAGTTGTATAGTCTTGCAGTAAGGCAGCAACGGTCGTTTAAACTACAATGAATTAGATTTGGATATTGGTTGAAATCAGTGCCTTGTGATCATTTGGATATTGCTTTCATGTAAGAATCCTATCTTAAAAGCAAACATTTTGTCAGTTGACAGATTATGTTACTTCATTAGTAGGCACTTTCATCATTAAACGTTTGAAACGAATATTTAGAATGATTTGGGAGGATTATGCCTTCAGGATAGCCTTGTTACAAGGCTCCGTGAAAATTTTCATGAGTTTCAACCATGAGTACCACAAAGTCTGTCTCATGGTAAAAGGTTATCTTCAAATTTTAATCAGTTGACAACAGGATTAACTGATAGGGTTTGGGCGTTTGGCTATGACACTGGAAAAATTCATAACCAATTGATTGGTATCATAAAAGTGGTAACCAATCTGATGGTTTTCATCAAATTCACTGTGTTGGGGGTTGATTGGACAATGCTCCTTTGGTATTATATCCTTCTGGGGTAAAAAATCTCTACATTGTTTAACATGAAGGGCTAGATTCATCCTTTGTATTGTATTGTATTGTGCACATGTAAAGTTGGCTTTTAGACTCAGTTTTGGAAGGAGTGCAAATGCATATACAGGTTTAGAAATACAACATATAATAAGGCTTTGTACTGTACATATTTGTATGTGCATTCTTTCCAGCTTTGCAAGAGCACAAATACATATGAAATAAGTACATATACAAATAGTGCAAATGCATATACAGGTTTAGAAATACAACATATAATAAGGCTTTGTACTGTACATATTTGTATGTGCATTCTTTCCAGCTTTGCAAGAGCACAAATACATATGAAATAAGTACATATACAAATATGTAGAGTGCAAAGCCTTGTATTTTGTATTTTTTATTATATACTTGCACTGTACATATTTGTATTTGTACTCCTTCCAAACTGAGTCTTGAGTGTTTGTGAGATTTCTCATAGGTTTCTTGTTTCTGTAACTTCTTTATTTGGAAAAGAAATCTGCATCTGTGAAAGCTATAAAATGTAAATGGATGATTCCTTAAATGGGATCAAGCCTAAAATTTATATCCTTGCGATTTATTTTCTTAAATGCATTCCCTCTCTCTCTCGCTCCTTCATTCGTTACTGTAACCAAAACTTTCATTTTTGTATAGGAAGACACGTGGAATGGGAGCTGGTCGCAAGCTCAAGTCCCACCGTAGGAGGCAGAGGTGGGCTGATAAAGCATATAAGAAGTCACACCTTGGCAATGAGTGGAAGAAGCCATTTGCTGGGTCCTCTCACGCCAAAGGCATTGTTCTTGAAAAGATGTAAGACTGAAATCAATTGCATGTCCTCGTTTCAACTGACAGTTATAATTTCTATACCCAACCTGACTGATTTCACTTCCACAGTGGTATTGAAGCTAAGCAGCCGAACTCTGCTATCAGAAAGTGTGCTAGAGTTCAGTTGATTAAGAATGGGAAGAAGATTGCAGCCTTTGTCCCCAACGATGGTTGCTTGAACTACATAGAAGAGAATGTATGTTGCGTTTGAAGAACACACACACGACACACTCAATAAATAGCCATTGTTTAAAGTTCAACTGCCATAAGAACAAATACTTCTAATTCCTTCTTTAACCTTAGGTATTCTTATTTTTGTGCAGGACGAAGTTTTGATTGCAGGATTTGGACGCAAGGGACATGCTGTGGGAGATATTCCCGGAGTTAGATTCAAGGTTGTTAAAGTATCAGGCGTGTCTCTCTTGGCTCTTTTCAAGGAGAAGAAGGAGAAGCCAAGGTCTTAGATGGAGAATGTTTTGTTTTTACCTAGGTTAATGTGGAATTTTATCATCCATCAAGAAAAAAAAGAGATTGAACTTTCATTCTAGTATTAAATTAAAGATCTATTCGAGGATGGTAATTTTGAGAGTGGATTTTGTGAACGGTTTATTTTTTAATTTTGCAGTTTTATAAGATTTTGCAGAATTTCTATCTCCTTTTATCGTTTAGGATAATGTAATGCAACACTGTTCCTTTCTCTATTCACTGGTGTAGTGGTGTCTTAATCTCTGCCTCGTGATGTACGAGAGGTTGCTAAACTTTGTTTTCTTCTACTAGTCGGAGAAACTTTTTTAGATCAGTTAAGATTTAACAACGTGGGTCCTCTTCTCACGTTTGGAGCCCCTCTTGGCTATGAATTCATGCTTCTGATATAGGGCTATCGCTTGAATATTAGGATAAAATTCAGAAAGAGGTTGATGTTTCTAATTTCAGATAAAGCGTAATTCAAAATAAATGGGAAAGAGCGATTCATTTCACCAAAAATATGTTAGTGTGAACTAAAAAAAAAAAGATAAAGAGTCGTGTTTTTCGGGAAGTTTTAGAACTTGTGTGTTGATTTGCAACTTTTTGCAGAGAATGTTGATGGTTATTTGTATTGTTTTTTTAATGGGTGTTGGGTGTCCAAATTGGATTGAAAAGCCATATAGAGGCTTGAAGTGCAAGATACTATAAGCTCAAAGTTGAAAACCAATAACATGACAATCTAGGGCAGAGCTGTCTCATTTGGCCAGGGCCCAGCGTCTAGGTCCCAGGATTCAATCTGTTGGCCGAAAGCTCAGCACTCGCCCAAGTTGCACCTCTAGATTAATAGACAAGGTCCTGAGCTCCGTGGCGCTGGTCGATCAAGTGATGCCCAGTTTTATTGTCAGATTGTATTTCAAACCGCCCCCATTGCTGTATTGCTAGAATAATCGGTTCTGATCTTATTCCCAATCTCTTTGGCGGTAACATGAATAGACGGATTTTCTATTGGGGTAATGCAGATAAGAATCCCACTTGGCCCTAAACGTTACTATGATTATATTAAAGTATTACATTCAAACATATGATGCTGATTATCATTGGCTCTTCAGTTCCATTCTGATTTCAAGTTTTCTCGTTTCTCTAGTCTAGAGTATGCTAAACTAACCACACCCCCACTCCCCGCTCCATCAGATGTGAATTATGTTATGGTGCAAGGCATGGATTGGGGTTGGAGTTGGCTTTGGGAAATACCACTTGCCAACCTCAATATAAACCATGGCATAAATGATACCACACAAAAGAGTTTTACAAAGCCAGAAAACTAGAAAAGGGTTGTAGTACTTCCAAGTCTCAAGTATCAACCAATTCGAAAACAAGACTACGTACGGTTGCTTCATTCATGTGGCAAGATATGGGAATTTTATCAAAGCGCTCCAACACCGATGAACGATGAAACGCCACAACTCGGCTGTTTTCTTGCTTTATGCGTTCTAGGAAAAATGTGAGTGCCTTCTCTATCACTTACTCTTATGTCGAGTCCTCTAGTCCTCACAGGCATAACCTCCAAAGTAGGTGGAGCCGTGGAGGGAGACCGCAGACTAGCCTTGAACGATTATCTAAGAAAACTGGTTCCCCTCCTGGAGGCATCAAGCTGTTCCTTTGAGTACGAATTTGGAAACCCAGAATTATCCTGGGTCATTACTCATTACCATCAACCTATAAAACATAACTTCTCTTCACCATAAAGCTCTTTCACCGAGTTATTAAGATCCATGTCTACCAAATGCTTGGCCAAATTATCTACTTCAAAATGAAATAAATTCTCCTTTTCTTTAGAAACATGAAGTCCACGAAATCTTTTGGGACTGATCTCAAGATTCATCACGTGGAATTGCCGCATGTTTTCTGCACCCAATGTATTCTTCAATTCAACTTGGATGCCACTCTCTGGAATTAAACCAGAAACGATATTTTGTGGAATTCTATCAGGCACCTCTCCCCCTACTTCCCAAGTCTTCGAGTGGTTCTTTGTATCATTCCTAGAAGACCCACGAACTTCTGAAAATAAGCAAGCATGATCTTCTATTGCAATCCCTGAAGTACCAGACACCTTTGGTAAAGTAGATAGTAGTGTTTCAGTGTGCTGAGAATCAAATTTTAGGGTCCATTTGGTTCGTAGTCAGAATCGGAATCGAAATTGGAATGACCTGTTCTTATAATCTGTTTGGTTCAGACAAGAATGAGAATGAAAATTAAAATCAATAGGAATGAAATTTCATTTCCAAGGGAGAGGTAGGGAATAGCCATTCCCTCAAATGGGGGAATTCCATTCCAACAGAAATAGAAATGGAATTCCGATTCTATCCAACCAAACAAACAGTTGTAGGAATAACCCATTCCGATTCCAATTCCAGACCCCTATTCCTTCAAACCAAACGGAAGGCTGAATCTTACCTTGCTTTGTTTTCATGGCACCTACATTGTAGTTACCAATTCCGGATTCATGCCTACTCAAACCACTTCGAACAGTAGAATGATGTTGCGGACCTCCACTGGAAGTGCGCCCCATGGGTTTATCCTGAAAATTAACCAAACTTTATCCTGGTAAAGTACATTTTTAGTAAAGCAAATATTCAAATCTTGAAAGCTAAAAAATAGGAAAGCAAAATGCAGGTGGGATGAATAGAAAAACCAACCGTATCAAAAAAACCTATCTTTGGTGATGGCATTCGAAGACCCGATGGTTTTACACTTCCAGAAACCTTGTTAGAGATTGAGTAAGAAGGTATTCCAGTTCCCAAGCAAATTTTGTCGGAACGTTGACTTGGTGGTATAAGTTGATCATGCGGATGCGTCTGCATATCCAATGACCTAGGGGAACCACTGTCGAGAGAGACATCTCTTTGAGGAGAACTGACATCAATGCTGGCCTTTGAACTATAAGACCTTTGGTTGATGGCTGAAGTTGATGAAGATGATTCCGACGACCATCCATCCATAGAGCTAGCAGGCAAAATGCTTGAAGAGGGCTTGGACATTGACATCAGATAAGTTGAGAGATGTGAACTTCCGGCTGCGATTTTATTTCTCGACGAAATTCTCAGAGGAGTTTTGGGGGTTGAACCGGAAGAAGGTGGACTGATATTTCTACAATCAATTTTGGTCCTCCGAGAGTTCAAGAGAGATTTACCAGAAGAACCAGATGAAGTAGTAACAGATTTGTTGTTAGAGGAATAAAAAGCTGTTGATTCCACTTTGATGACAAGGGGAGAACCCGAAGAAGATTTGGGGGATGACCTAGAAATACCACTAGATGAATCAGCAATACCAGGTCTCTTGGACAGCAAGGTAGATACTCCCCTTCCTGCAATTGTAACATCTAGTTCAAATCAAATACTTGAAATACAGATTAACGTGTTTCTCCTCTTGCAAGATAAATCAATTTGCATTCATGGTACTTTACCTGATCCAGCTTTAGCAGTACAATTTTCCACTTTCGCATGGTTGGTACCCAGAGAAGTTCTTTTTGTTGGTGCAGCTGAGATGCGGTTGACCTTTCCTACTGTCTTAGGTGGCCTAAGGGATGACGTATCTGGCTCTCCACTTGTAGCAGCAGCCTTTTTTAATCAATTTAAGATGTTAGATAAGCCACATCTAAAAAACATCATTATTGAGTGTTAAGGCAGGATCGCCACTGCTTGATTAAACAGTTAAGGCAAGGTTATATATTTCTGGCAAAATTATACGAATTATTATATTGAGGATTAAAGGCATAGCAAATTAAATTGCAACCATTAGCAACATAGAAAATTCAGTTGTAAGTAAACATGTTCGCATTTCCAAAACAGATGCTAAGACCAGGAATACATATCAATCTATAGGTTAAAGACGACGTGCTTAGTTTATGGTACATGCCTGTACAGCTCGTGGATGAACAGAAACCTCCTTTATTTTTCCTGAACCTTGTAAACTAATAGTTTGCTTCCTAGAATTGCTTATCTGCTTCATCTGAGATTCTGGGACAAAATAAATATAAAGCTAGCCTTGAAGAAATAGTGTCCGTGGCAACTGAAAGAGTACTTACCCTAACTTGAGATGCAAGCTCCTGCTTATGCAATGCTGAGAGGAAGAATCAACACTAATTTCAGAATAATTTTACCAAAAAGCCATGCAAAGAAAAGAAGCACAAAACATGTAAATCTATTCAGCTAAACAGAATTTGAAAGGAATGTTCTTGCCATGCACATGCAAAAGATAACGGTGGAGCTTGACAAACAGTAGGAGAGAGAGCATTTTGTGCATCAATTCATCCTTTAACTAAAGGTGATTAGTGAAATGGCAACATACTCACAGTGACAACTTTTGCTACCTGGTTGTCCTCGCCCCTTGCTAGTAGGATATTTTCCATTAGATGCTCCTTTGAATTTTTGGATGGAAGCCCTTATATCTCCAAACAAATTAACCTCAAGGCTTTCCAATGTCAAGATGTCACTGTCTAATGTGGAGATTGACTCAGTGGGTTGCTGTACATCTTCTTGAATAGCAGGTAATAAATGTGTTTTAGCCTCATTGAACCCACTATTTATCAATGACAATTCATCGGGATCAAGAACACCTGCGGATATGATAAGGAGCTTTAAAGTCAACATTTTTAAGTATCTGAAAAGTCCAAATTCTGAAAGAAAAACAAAACATGGATAATGCTAATGGAAATGATGGCATACCTGCACTTGTGAAGAAGGCGTTATCCCAGGCTAAACTTTTGCGCAAATTATAATTACCAACTTTTCTTGTTCTGTCTCGTTCAGAGGATTCGGACAACTGAGATTCCTGCCCCATTTCTTGAGGCAAATATACCAAATCATTTTCCCGAGCATGACGAGCTTCCGACAACTGAAAATTGCCATGCTTCTTTGAACTTTGTGAAAATCCTGTCAATTTGAGTTCAAAAAGAAATAATTTTAAGCAACTCTGCAATAGAGAATATCACTGAGAAATAATGTCTTGTCAATGTAAAAGCAATCTATTGTATATGATGCATATTTCCTACCATGAGTAACCAGCTATATGAACCCTAAAGTATATCACCTGTATCATACAAATAATGGATGGTAATGATAATAGAAAAAGATTGGTCCATTTGCTGATTGATCTCCCACCACAAGAAAGGCCTCATTTACTCCTCCCTGCCTAATTTACAATCCAGATTTCAGTTCCAAAGGCCAAAGCCCTGTACAGATACTCATTAAGTCATTCTTAGATCTTAGTGGGAACTAGTTAGATTAAAACTTAACTTATAGATTCACATGCAGAAAACCTGCATTGAATATTTGTAACGTTATTGATGTAATTTCTAATATAAATAGTGCTGACTGCTGAACAGAGTATTGATGTAATCTCTGTTCTTACTATTCACTTGGTGTTCCCATAAACATCATAGGAAGACAAGATATAAACTATGAAAAGAAAGCCATAGATTTTGATAGTGAATGAACTTAGAAAACTTTCCATTTTGAAGATCAACGATGTTTGAATTGATTTGGATTTGTGATGAAAAATTCAGAAAATTCCCAGTTTTGCTTAGTTTAATCCAGTGTTTTCAAAACTGGACTGGACCGGATGGTCGGACCAGAAAAATCAGGAACCAGTCATCTGACGGGTTCCGTTTCACCCCAAAACTGCTTTGTGGCAAAAAACTGTTGATTTGGTCAGCGAACCGCTGACCCAGGCGGTCGAACTGTCAAACCGTTGACCCGGACAATGGTTTTGGCCATTTTTTGCTTTTAATTTTTTTTTTAATTTTTTTTGTCAGAGCAGGCCATCCGGTCGGACCATTTGACCCGGTCCGGTTTTAAAAACCTTGGTTTAATCAGTCATTCATAGCATAATTTGTGGTGACTGGGGTTGGAATATATGTTTTGGTGGAACACACTTTTTTTTGAAGATAATGGAACAAATCCTTTTGATATTGTTTAAGGTTCTGTTGCAAAACAGCCCACCTATTTCAGTGTTTTATTTCTTTGTTTTGTTATGTTAAACCCAGAAGATCATATTCATTAGTGAATTGACCGATGCTTAGGCTTGAGAACAATCAATTTAGTTTGAACTTCGATGTTGTTCAGGAATTTCTCTGATCAGTTTGTGGTGGTATTCTGTAAATCTGTATCGCTCTAGAAGAGTCTGTTATTTAGAGGAGAGGGCCTCTTGACCTACAATATGTATATGCTTAGGGGTGCAAGTTGATACATGAGGAATTTACACAGTATAAGGCCTGAGCCCATTCAAATTTTGGTAAATGATCAACCCGAGTCTGCCCAAGTTGCAGCCATTATGCTAGAGTCTCTACAGGATGTTGCTTGATCAGGAAACCAAGAGGACCACAATGTCTTGACCGTCCTCTTTAGGTGATGATTAGATATCCATTATTCAAATTAGTGAAACTTGATAGGACCAATTTTCCGGAAGGGATGTAGTCAAAAAACCATATGGTGGTGGTAGAGGAAAATTTAGTATCCACGCCAGAATGAAAAAATAACTTACAACAAAATATTCTTCTTACTTAACTAATTAGTCCATTGCACGCAGACATGATCACACTATCCATTACTTAAGACACAGAAATGCAACACTAACTTCAATCCCCCAGGGCAGGCCAAACTAAAACACTGAAATGCTTTCTATCAGGATTTGCTTTTATCCAGAAGCAAACTCAATGACCACCCATTCGTAGACCGAATTTCTCCAGTAACCTAATTCCTCAGGAACCAGAATATCCTATTCATTATTCACCAAAGGCTCCAGTGTCTCTTTACACATACAGAGGTGGCTTCTATTTATTGATTTTAATCCATAAAATGGCAAGTAAATAACACTAATCTCCTCATGTCTCCAATTCCTCCAATAAAACCAAATCTTTAATCTTCATTATCTTCTAACGAACAGAATGTATCATGAGCTGGATTTCAAAGTTAATTATAAGAAGAATGTCTTTTTATTTTCCGAGTAAATAAAACACCTGACTAACGTTCAAGCACAAGATGAGCGACAATAAAAGTAGGGAAAGAATAACCTCTATCTTCTTTCTGGATTTTAGTTTTGCAATTCCTTTTACAAAATGATATGAGTTGTGTGTGATGATCAACATTGTTTAGTGGCGAAATTTAAAACACCGTTGATGCTGCACATTGTTTGACAATTATGCAATATGCATGACTACGAAACACGATCGAAAAGCAGCATAATTCGATGGAACAATTAAAACATAAGAAGCAATTGCGTGGCCATTTATGCTACATAGAGTAGAAAACAGAACCAGGATAGCAGGAATCAAATCCATCAAAAAAAGAACATCACAGTATCATATGAAATCACAATACCCTAGAACAATGAAGTATAGTAGTAAAATTGTAGGCAATGAAAGAATGAGAGACCTTTTAGCTAAAACCAAATACCTCATGTACTTAACAGATCAAGATCAAAGAAAAGATGATAAATGAATACCAGAAGACTGGAACTGCAAGTCCTGTAAACTGCCAGAAGGTGACGCAATCAGGCAATCGTCCATAGAAGAAACATCGATCAGATGTAGCCTCTCAATTTTCAAGTCATTCTTCTCGCCATCATCCATTGAGTAGAATTCTTGAATCAAAACGAAGATCGGAGAACCACGGCAGATAAATTGCAGAAAATATTCGAAATTTGAACTTCAAGACGTAGTGACTATTCGAACATAAAATAAAAAGCAATTACTGTTTCAATTACCGGTATAATGAAGAGAGAGAGAGAGAGAGAGGCCTCTGTTTCCCCAAGACATTTATACGGGGACTATGCAATGGGCGGGAAATCTTCTCTTATTTTTCTTAATAAATTAGTAATCAATATTAGAACAATTTTCTGGTTTGCTTGATCCGTTACTTGATAATCTAGATGGTGGGTCCCCGTCCCTACTTCCAAACCAAAATATTAACCAATCAATTGGAATTTCGTCCGAATTAATATGAGATCTTGATTGATGAAGGTATTTTAGTGGAATTCCTTCCCATAGAAATTCTTATTTTGTTAGTGTATAATTAATAAAAAAATATGTACAAATTTTATTTACATATGTATTTATACATGTTTATACATATATTCATGTATAATTTGATAAATGAAATGCATGAATTGGGTTGGGCCGTTGGGGTTAGGCCCGCCTAAGTTGAAGCCCTATATAACCTATACTGAATTAGTATTAAAAAAACAAAAAAGAAAAAAAGAAAAAAAAATGCAAGGGATGATGGAGAGGGAAGGGAGGAAGCTGACATGGACAACCGGGTTTTTGATACATAGAATATAATTATACTAATTTAAAGTCCGCTTAAATACCATTAATAATAATATTAGTTCATACTTCATACAACAATACTAGTGCATGCCACCATCATCTTTGAGTGTATTTTCATAGCGTCACTTTATTTATTTTTATGGGAAAATTGCATATTATTACCCTATATTTTGGGGCTAGTTTCATTTTATTACCCGAATTTCAAAATGTATCATTATAGTACTTAAACTTTCAAAAACTATCAATTTAGTTTAAAATCGTTAATTATATATAAAAATGACCTTTGGGTGTCATCTAATATTCATTTTCCAATCAACTATATTGAATTCACTTTATCTAATTCCTAACTTTTTCCTTTCTCTTCCATACGAAGTCCTGCTTGCTATTGCCTCCGCAAATCTCTTTACAACTTCATATCCAAAGAAGACCGCCATTGGTGTTAATCATTGGAGAACAACATTAATTCTTGCCTCTCTCTCTCTCTTTTTTTTTTCTGTTTCTTCTACTATTAATGGCCTTCGTGATTAATGAATAAATTCCTTTTTTTTTATTTTTTTAATAAGTTTATTTATTTGGGAATGACAAAATACATAATAAAATCAATGGGGGGAAACATTTTTCAAGTAATTGTTGTAAATAATGGTTGATTTGAGACTCTATTCACTGCTACTCTATTTAGTCTCTAAGAACAATGTCTTCTTATAAAGGGTAAGTTTGGAATTTTGAAATATTACAAATTGAATATGACATCTTGTGTGTTAGATAATTTGTTGGTTGGGCTCCCATCCCACGTAGAGGGCCCAAAAAATAAAAAAAAAGGAGGTGGGGAGTTGGAAGTCGAAGAGGCTCATAAAGGTAGCCTCACGCGTCTTTGCATGAGCAAAGACATTAATTAGCAACAAAAACTTGCTTAGCAAGTTCAGTGAAGTGAACCGTTCGGTGAAGCCTTCCACGGAAAACAAAAGAGAGAGAGAAAGAGAGAGGAAAGAAAAAGAGAAGTTTTTGGGTTTTTATGGGTGAAGAACACAAACCTGCGTAGTGATCCTTTCTCCAATCGTCTTGGGATTTTTGTATGCAGTCGATGGCGCCTCAAGCTGCATATCTACTGGTTTGATTTGCTATTCCTCTTCTCTATTATCATTTTGGTGAGATTTATTTTTGTCTCTGAGTTATTTGGTGATATGTGATGAAATTCACCTTTGGGTGAGTAGTTGATGCTGATAGCCTCTAGACTTACCGCTAGAGAAGAACTTTGTTGTATCCCGTTGATTTATTAGTGGAAGTTTTAAGTGCCTAGTTGCCAGTGGTTTTTCCCTTTGTTTTGGAGGGTTTTCCACGTTAAAATCTTGTGCCTTCTATTTGTCGATTGTATTTTTATTATTGCATATAATTTTTCTACTTGGTTGATATTGTTTAACTTGCATGTCCATTTAATTGCACAAAGAGGAAAACAAAATATTTTGTTATTTTGCTATTGTAAGATAACAAGCTTTTTCTCAACATAATTGACAGACTGTTAACGACGAATACTAAATTGATAGTTTTCAAAAATTCAAGTACTGTAGTGACACGTTTTGAAATCCGGGTACTAAAGTGAAACTATTCCTCAAAGTACAAGATAACCTTTATTTTATTTTTTGCTCAACATACAAAATTAATAATCACTCAAATTGTCAATATTAAAAGATTGTTTCGTGATTGAATGAGTGAAATAAGAGTCCTCAACCACTCTCGAACTTAATCATCAAGTTCAATAGTATTATTGTTCCATATTGTAGCTCTAGTACTCCAAGTATGAGCTATAATGTTTTGAACCCCTATGAATATATACAACATAACAATAAATAAAGGAAAAACAATTTTTTTTCTTTGTTTTTTTTCTTTATCTCTTTGCAAAGAGTATATATATATATATATATATATATATATATATATATACAAAATAATGGTTTTTCACTCTACATATTTGTATTTGTACTCCTCCCCTACTTTTGGAAAAATATAAATACAAATACAAGGTTTAAAAGGGAAAATCTATGATGCGGGAAAAATATGGTATGGGAAGAGTTTTGACAAATCAAAATTCACCCATGAATTTTGATAAATAACACCTAATTGGCTACCATGCTTATGATTCCAATTGACTGGTGAGAAGTCTTTTGGTTATCATATATTTTCTATATCATAGTTGAACTCGGTTTAAAGATACCACATATAAGGTTTTGTACTATATATTTGTCTTTGAACTCTTCCCAATCGGAGCTGTAACAACTTTTTTTCCTTTCTAGAACTATCCATCCCATTACCATAGCCACATGAGGAAAGTTTGGTTGTTCGGAAAAAACAACGCAGCTATTTTGAAGATTAATGTGCATGACACATTACTACATTAGTGGGATAAAAGAATAATTGTATTCAATATTATTCTCCAAATAAAAAGATAAAAGGAAAAATTAAGCTGTCAAATAACAAAGATGGGATCTGCTCCTCACAGAGTGCGCCTTACACCATCCTCACAGTGTATCACAACCGTGCATTGAGAACATCTCACGTATATAATGTTATCATTCATGAGAAGATGTTCCTAATGCATGGCTGTGATGTGTTGTAAGGATGGTGTGAAGTGCACTCTCTGAGAAATATATCCAGATGAGGACACGACAGTGATGGGCTGTAATAGGTTTGGTTTTAGACCTGGCTGTAATAGAGTGGAGATAATGAAGACCTAACGAGTAGATGACCACCAGCAATTGCAGCTAGATATAACTAGCCACAACAATAGAGCAAGGCAGATTTCTACTTCTCTAATATCCTTACGACCAAATCAAACTATTAGTCTATAGCATGGTTTTCAAAACTAGAACGGAAAAACCAGGAACTGGTCAGATGATCGGTTCTGTTTTATCTTAGAACTATTATTTTCCCAAAAATCGTTGATCTAGTCAACAAACCGCTGACCTGGGCGTTCAAACCATACAAACTGTCCAACCGTTGATTTAGTCAGCAAACCGTTATTTTTTTATTTTTTAATTTTTTTGTCTGAATGGGCCATTTGTTCAGTTCGAATGATCGGACCATTCGACCTGGGAACTGAACCCCTGACCGATTCATTGTCCAATTAGATTTTAAAAACCTTGGTCTATAGCAAGTGGTGGAGCTTCAACTATCAATGTATGGTTCAAACTATAGAGGCCCAGGCACATCCTCTATTTCGTCTATATAAAGGGTGACCTCCGTTCAGTGGTAGGAATGAAGAGGGAGGAGGAAATAAGAGAAGGTGTTCGGTGGTTGATGGTAACAATGGATGTTGGTAAATATGAATGTAGTGTGGTTGTAAAAGAGATGAAACCAAAAACCAAAACAAGAAAATCCGAACAATAGAAAAATAAAACAGTAATCAAATAAAGAACTAATTAAAACTTATCGGTGTAGCTAAGTCGTGGAAAATTTCTACTCTTCTTAAAACTGATTTCGCCACCTCTTGGAGTATTTCCGTTGGAGCAAAAGGATACTGGCGATCGGCCTCCAAGATACAACAACTCTCAGCCTTGGTGTTATATGCACTCACAATTCAAAGCAACGAACCAGTATGTTATGTGCGCCCAAAACGATTCAACTAGTGAAAGAGAAAAAACACAATTAGGGAGAACAAACAACATTGCATACAAAAGAAGAGAACAAGAACTCACAGTAGAAAGGACAAAGTTCATTGCTATATATATATATATATATAAACAATTAACCATAGATTTTTCTTAATCCCAACCCTATAAACGTCCTTCAAAATATTTTTTTTACCCATTAAGATCTTCACAATTAGCATTAATTTTACAAAATGTACTTTCACTCTTTCAGCTATATAACTAATGGTCTATTCTATCTTTACCCTTTTTATTAGGGTAAAATACAACCCCCCTAATGTTTATGAGAATCATAAAAACCTCCCCTTTTAGCGTTGTATTTCATACCATTGACACTTCTACTTGCAACATTTTTTAATGTAAATTAGGATTGTATTTGGTACCGTTGTCACTTCTACTAATTATTACTAAACAAATAAAGGCACTGGATTAGGTGTTGGTATTTATAATAGAAACATGGAATTTGACGATTTTGTGAAGAATAAAAAATGGTGCCCAATATTGTATTGCTATCTCAAATCATTTGTGATAGAAAAAAAAAATTCTCATAAAATTTATATTGACCAACCTAAAACATTGCTAGTAGAAGTAACAATACTATCAAACACAATTATATAATTTAGAATAAACTCAAATGGGATTTCATTTCCCCTAAAAAGGGTGGGAATAGAATTCTAATTAGGCCCAATCAAACAGTTGGACCAAATGTATTTTCTGTTGAAACGTGTTACGTGAATATGTAAATCTACAAGGAGACCTAATTGAACTTGCCTCGGTTATCATGATCAGAATTCAAGCATATGACAGGCCTCTCGACCTATTTTTATTTTTATTTTTTGTCTGGGTAAGCACAAGATTGACTCATCAGTTATTAACAACTGATTCAAACATTCCTTAACCCACATTAAATAACAACATTCAAATAACTGATACAGATCTCTCACGCCAAAATCTTACTGCTGATTTGGTATGCTAATTAAGAATGTAAAAATTCCGCTCCGGAATTGGCGCTTCTGCTTCACTGAAATTCTTACACTTTGGGAAAATTGACTATCATCCTTAAATTATTATTATTGCTGAACCTGCTGGTTCGTATATATACTTTTGTTTTTTTTTTCCCTTCAACCACTGAATGTCTGTATCTGTATAAAAGTAAGGGTCAATCATGAAGAGGATATGTTGGGAACACCAACCCACTCTCTCAAATCCAATGTCCTGCAGAATTCTTACCGATCAGCTTCAAAGAGTGCAGACACATGAGGCATCACTCTTATCGCCTTTTCTTTTAGAATAGAAACAGACAGTTCACCAACCTCTGCATATTCCTTACTTGGTCTAGAAAAGAAATAATGAAATGAGAAAACAAAATTCAAACAATAGAACTCGATTACTTCACACAATTCTGAAGATTACATTAATTTTGATTTGAATATCAGTTCTCTATCTTTCTATCTCCTGTTTCCGAATAGAGAGACTTTAATTCTCTTCTTTCACCAATGAAGATCTACAACAGAGGGCTGTTAACAAGTCCGTGCCAGGAAGACCCAAGTCCATTCCAATATTCTCTCCCTGAATCAACAACACCCATGCTTCCATCTGCACCAGATTGCCATGGAAACCCCCACAACATTCTATTCTCGCCATCTCTTCCTTTACAAAACTCTTGTTTTGTTGTCGTTGCTGTTGGTACTATTGCACCGATCATGTCCTCATAAGGCAACGCCACCTCTTCGCTGCCACCACCACCGCTTGCCATCTCTCCCATGTTACAGTTACCAAAGCCATAGCAGAAGTTATTAAAACCAGTTGGGGTATCAAGAAAACCAGTATTTCTGAGTGCATCAAGAATACCGCCGGGAGTTGTGGCGGTGGTGGTGGAGAAAGGGTTTCCGGGAACATCACAGTTGGTCGAATTGAGGCCTCCCAAAAGAGAGCCGTCGTGGTCGTCGAGACCCAGCTGCCGAGTGGGTTGTTTGTGGAGTCTAGCAAAGGCAAGAGTGAGGTCACTGGAGTCACAGGTAAAGGATGGGAGAGTAGGGAGTGGGTTGGAGTTGGTAGTGATGAGAGACGGGTCCTGTGTCTTCTTTGAGGAAGAAGATCGCTTGTTCCTTCTGCAACCTCCGCCCACTGGAACGTTTCTCAGTGATCCTCCTTTGGTCCAATACCTCCTACATGCCTTGCAGAAGTACCTCGGTTGTGAGAGGCTGTAGTTGTTGTAGTAACAGAACTTGGTGTTAGTCGAATCACATCTTGGACATTTGAGGGCCTGCTCTGGCTGAGGCCTCGATTTCCTCTCTTGCTGTGGCTTCGGGTACGCCAATATATCTTCTAGTGAATGGGTAGCCATGGCCTGGAGGGATCTCAGCAGAAACACAGAAAGAGAAAATCAATATCAGTAGACATGGAACTGGTGTAGTTTAGGGCTGCAATTTCTATTAATAATCTTGATGATGATTTCAGATGGGTTATGCTGAATTCGTTATACAAAGTTCAAGGTTTATCTGGAGAGAGAGAGAGAGAGAGAGAGAGAGAGTGGGCTGAAGGATTTTCCCTTACAAACTATCTCCTAGGATTGCAGCTTAAATAACCGAAGTAGTTATTCTTACTGAAATCAAAGCTGATCACTTTAATTTTAAAGAAAGGAAAAGGTTTGATTGTTTTGTACCTTAATCACCATAGAAATAGAAGAAAAAACGATAAAAACCCAAATCACAGAAAACGAAAACGAGAGATAAAAGACCATTAAAATTCATGTTTCTTTATCAATCTTTTGGTTATTGTTCTTCTACCCTTTTGGTTGCAGCAAATTAAAGTACATAGTGGGCGAATCATGTCTTTTTCTGTTCGAATTAAGCACTTCAGTTCTACTGAAGATCGCGTGATTCTTATTACTCTTTTAGAAAATGATCCAACGCATAAAAAGAAAAAGGAAAAAAAACAAGGTGAGAGAAAGCGAAGAAATAAAGGATAAGAGAGAAAGAGAAGAACAAATCAGTTGCAGGCTTGCAGCTAGTCCTATATAATTGGAGTTCTGTTCAATTCCTACCTGGTGTTGAGCATTTGAAGGATCCATCCATGCAAAAATTCAAAACTGAGATTCGAGTAAGCAGCAGGGCCCTGCAGCAGGAGGCACAGTCATGCAAAGTGTAGAACGAAGAAGACGATCAATACCTTAATAAATAGACAGAGAAAGAGGATGCAATCATTGCTTTCCGTACCAGATGATCGATGTTTTTGGCTTGCACGCAGAGAAAGCACGAAAAAAAAAAAAGAAATTCGAGCCGATCGATCTGCAACTCTGATTGATGAGCCAGAGTGGGTCCGCTTCGCGTGGATGCAGCCAAGCCATACGTGGACGGTGGACCCCCCATCAGGCCATTTCCACGACCACCACAAGCCGATGAATCGCCGCGGTTCGGCCTCCGGGGTTCAACTAACAGAATCCTGTCCCACGTCTTATGTGGTTTCTGGGCCCACCAGTTACAACTTGCAGGACGCTGTAGGGCCCACCACAAACTTCCAGTCCGTATAGAGCTCTCCGGTTGCCCCCTCGATTACAAATCATACAAGTTCCAGACACAACACAGAAAAGTGGATTCTTACGTAAAAACAGTTTGTGGGGCCCAAGCGAAGTCATTGCGATTCTTCTTGTCACATCTAGTACGTATCTTATTACCACCGTGGTTCCTTGTATGGGAAGGATTCCTAATTCCCATGATTCATAAGTTATGAGCCGCTTGATTGCGATTAACAATCGTTTGGGGTTCTAGGAGAGGAGGGGACCAAGGATCTTGGGGTGGCGAGAAGATCGATGGACCAGAGCAACAAAGGAACAATTCGGTGGACCCTGCTTGGGGGAGGAATGTCTCGAATCCCATGAAGATCGTTTTGGCTCGTCCCTAATTTGAAAAAAATTCCAAAAGCTGGGCCACGCGGCACAATTTCTCGGTGCACCCTGACCCCGCTTGTCGTGTCGTGGGCCAGGATTTTTTCAAACCCAGAGTGAGTGGGTTGTGTTCACACTTCACAGTGCAATCATTCTTTATCGGTCAAAGAAGTTGACTGGTCAAACTTATCAGTCAAAGAAGAGAAGAAAAAGAGTGTGCCCTACAAATATTCTACTATATCCTATATTCTTACATATAAAAGGAATCTGCTGCTCTGCCAAGGAATCTAGCGTTCAGGAAAAACGTTTGTGAGCCATCCTGGTCCGGCGTGATTCGGGTTAACCCGGGTCTCAGATGAGCACTTTGGGAGTTGGAACCGACATTCCAAGAACTCGGATCTTGTCCGGCTGGTACGATTGGGTTCATCCGATCTGATCCGCCTAAAAATTAGCTCGGAACCGGCGGGTACGAGTTAGACGCTACGGACTACGGAGAGCTGTCATCACTGGTCAGTGTGAGTGGTGACCACATGGGCATATCTTAAAGCCCGAAAAAGAATGGTGTAGTGACTAGTATTATCTTTATCCATCATCCATCAGCTTAGGGAAGATTGGATTAGACCAAGGCCCACCTATCGGACAAGCGGGAGAGCATACGTAAGTCATGTCTGTATGTGGCGATACACAGGAACAAAAATAAATGATAAAATAACGTGGGAATGGTTAATTATAGTGTATTATATTAATTTGGGTAACCTTTGAACACCTAAAGAGGTAATCGTAATGGGGGACGAGGGACGAAGAAATAGAGGAGGAAGCACTGCAGCAGCAATGAAGCAAGCTAAGGGCAAGGCGGGAGGCGAGTGAGCAAATTGGTCGGTGTGTGGTGGGTGGGACCCTGGGTGGGGTGATGGGGGATGTCCGGGTGAAACACGTTGCTGGAAAGTGCGGCCGAGAGTCGAATATCTCGTTCTACGAGGAAAAGCAAGAGAGTCTCTGCGGTGGTGGTGCGCGGGTCCCGCGGTTTTCCTTCTTGTGAAGTAAAGGATAAAGGATCAAAATCTCGGTCTCTCGGGTCTCGGCTAAGGCTAAGGGTAAGGGGAGTTTTGAGTTTAGTGTAGAGCGGTTGTGTTGACCCTTGACTATGCGTTACGAGGGTCACGATCCGTTCCAGTCAGCCAATGGAACGATGCGCGTTGGAAAACGTTTCGCGTGGGCGACTTTTTTGGATGGGAGCGTCTGGGGCATCATGGGCCAGGGCCAGAGCCCGAGGAATTTTATTAGATGGGTTTGGCCATGGAATTTGTGTACCCAAATCAAATTCATCCGAGTTTGGTGGGTGTTGATGCTCGAGATGTTCGAGGATAATAAAGTAATTTTGCACATATACTTCGGAGGGTTGGCCGAAGGTTTCCAGGGTGTAAGTAAATTTCCCTTGAGGCCGAGGTATGCAGGCTGAGGCAGAGAGGGCTCGGAAGACATGTAGAAGCCAAAGGCAGGTACCCAAAGTACTCTAACAGAATGTGTCAGATGCCTCGGGTGAGGACCTGAGGCGGAGTCTCCAACGATTAAGTTAGTATGAGGTACGAAGAGAGGAATCAGGATCTGGTCTGTGAGCCTAGTTCCAAGTTCAGATTGTAAGGTTGTAAAATGGATCGATCCCCTTACCTGAAGGGGGCCACCCCTATTTATACTTGAACCATCCGGAGGTAGGTGAAGATGAACGCTTGAGATGGGTGTCGTACGAGGGCAGCCAAAGAGCTCTGTGGGACGCGTGGGCGCCCCGCGATTGGCTCCGTATGAGTGGCGCAAGGTAACCCCTATTGTAGCGGATCTCGCTCCCAGATCTGGCGCTCGTGGTCTGGGCCTCCCAGCCTCAAATGGGCTGGGTTGGGCCACCCCACATCATTTGCTCCCACTCCCAAAGCCAAAGAGGAAAATTCGGCTTTGGCTAATGGGAGTAATAGAGGCGAGCGCCAGCGGGCCCGATAGCCGAGGTGTACCCTGTGGTGGTGTCCTCTTTCGTGTCTCTGCCTGTTTCATCTTTATGAGTTGGGCAGAGGCTGCAAGTGGTTTACGACACTGCTGCTTCAGACAAGTGATCCGAGAGGCGCGCTCAGTGCAGATGTTCTGGTGCCGTCATTTGGGATGAGAGCATAAGGGGCCGAAGGCTGTTTAGGCTGAAGACCTGTGGAGCCGAAGGCTGTTTTAGGCCAAAGGCCTATGAAGCCCCAGGACCTGTGCACGGGACAACTTTCTGATCAGGTCAATGCGTGCATTTGTGCTACCAGGTCGCATAAGCTGGTGGTCCATAGTGGGTGGATACGTCGGTTCACCCGGAGTGTCGTTTCGCCTTCCGAGGGTGAGCATCATTTCGCCTTCCAAGGGTGAGTGTTTAGGGATGCAATGCGACTGGATCGCAGGTGTGGAGGCGCTTCGCGTCCGTTGGATCAGGGACGATCTGAGCCGTCGCTAGCGCGTCGTTTTGCCTTCCGAGGTTGAGCATCACGCATCGCACCATGATTGGGTAGTGGAGGCGATGGCTTCTTAGCCATTGGATCTCGAGAAATTTGGGCCGTTCATTCCTCTTTAAGTAGGGCCCTTAGTGGCAGCATTCTTGTCGTTTGTCGCCTTTGCCTTCGAGTGAACTCAGCTTCGAGACTCTTCAACCTTCAACACTTTACTCTCACACTTTATTCCTCCACATTTCTTAGGTAACTTTAAACAATGTCTTTCTCAGATTTTGGTCCTGAGTGCTGTGATCTTCCGCATGAGTCAGAAGGGAGCTCTTCCTGTACCCCTTCTCCTCTTTCCCCCTTGAGTCCTTCTATTCTTGCCCCCCTTTGGCAGGAGGTCATGGTGCTCAGGGAAGGGTAACCCTTGAGGGTGCAGAAGGCAGCCATCAAGGCGAGGACCCTCCCTGTGAGAGTGTCGCTTCTGTGACACTGAGGGAGGCTGAAGGGGCCTGCCCAGCCGATGGAGAGGGAACCCTAGACCATGTTCCCGGGACGAGGGCTGTCCAGGTAGTAGTTGAGACTGATGTCCTCCGCCTAGGTTTCGAGAACTCTCTAGATGGCGACCAGGTCAAAGCTCTGGCAAGGCAGTACTTCGTTCCCTCGTCCTATGGTATGAGGGTGCCCGAAGTAGGCGAATGGTCGTGGACTCCTAAGGAGGGGGAGATCTATGTCTACCAACATTTTCTCCAGTTCGGTCTCCGGTTTCCCCTTCATCCGCTGATTTCTGAACTATTGATGGCGTATGGGATTACTCTTTGCTAGTTGGTGCCCAACGCCGTTAGGACTATAGTGGCCATGCTGGTGGTGGCTCGGTTCTAGGGGGTGGAGTTGACGCTAAGGCTCTTCCAAGCGTTGTTTGTGCCAAAGAGGCATTCTTATGAGAATGTTATGTACTACCTCCAACCCTGTAAGACCAAGCCGATAGACAACACTTCTTCCATGCATAACTGGAAGGGAAAATTCTTCTTTCTGTCATGCCCCGAGGGTTGGTCCTTCAAGTCGGGGTGGGGAGAGGTTAGCCAGGCTGCGGAGAACAGTGTCCCCGTGCTCACGAGTGCAGAGAATGATGATCTCATGTCATTTTTCCCCTCGGTAGGAGAGACCCTGCGGTCCTTTAACATGTCATTTTTCCCCCTTCCTTTTTCTTATCTTCTCTTTTTTTTTTTGCTGCCTTACTGATGGCTTTACTTTTCTTGTAGAGGTGCCAATGGATGCTCGCAAGGCTGTTTTAGAACGTGCTCGCGCCATGCAGAAGGAACGGGCTAAGACGCCTCAAAGGCCTTCTGATGGGTAGAAGGCGAAGGTCTCTACCCCTGCAAAGGGGGGGTTCTCTCGTCAGGCCCCAGGTAAAGGGACTACTCTAGCGGCTCCCACGAAGGGAGCAACTTCACAAGTCCCTGTCAAGGGGAAGATGCCCGTCGAGGCAGGAGTAGAAGGCCACTGAGGCCGAGAAGAGGGCCTAGGAGGAAAACAAGCGAGCCGAGGAGCTGGCCAATCTTGCCTCTGGGCTTACTTGGACAGGATCGAGGATACCAAGAAGGCACTCGCGGTGGCTCTGCCTAAACTCGACGCCGAATCTTTGGAGGTGATCCCTGATTCTCTCGATGAGGCTGCCAACTATGCTCTTCCCCCTCCTACAGGAGGCAAGGCCTAAGCTGGGCTTCTTCTGTTTTCTTCTTCTTCTTTCTTTTTTCTCCTTTTGACAATGTACATGTATTCGGCCTGAGGGGTCATGAAAAAAAAATTGTTAAGCCAAAGGAA